AAAGTTTTGCGAGAAGTTTTCATTTCTCGTTGCGTAGCCTTGACCACATTGTACTGAGCAGCGCGCTGAGCAAGGCAGAGCAAAATTTGCAAATGTTGATTATTGCTCAGTGCGATGTTCAGTTTGTTTGACCGGGACTTTATAGTCATTTTCTTGCAATCGTTTAAAGCCGCGGTCAAATGAACTGAACATTTCTCTTGGCAGATCGCATTGGAAAATTTTACCTCCGTTCTCTTTACACATTTCATGTAGCACAAAAGCATTTCAAAAGTATTTTTTGGTAATGCAGTTGGGAAGACGTTGCAAAGGACTCTGTAAGCTGTAAAGAACTTTAGGTGGCATGTTTCTCTGGTGCCATCCCGAGTCCTATGTCTTTTTACATCGCTTCGCTTCGCTTACAATACCTCGCTTCGATTGATTTACATAGGCCTGACGATTCAGATGATTGGCATGCAAACTACCCTTTGGTTTTCCCTTTAATAGCTTCTGACTAATTAAATATATAGGACTGATTTTGTTTTTAAACATTACAAAAACCATAGTTGTACTGGTTTTCATATTTTCACAAATAAATAAAAATTCAAGATTATACGAAAGTAATCGAAAAATGTGAGAGTTGTGAACGGCTTTCCTTCAATAACTTTTGGCAGAAAAATGATAAAAATATGATTTGGAATGTAATCGATGGAACATGATCTGGTTCATGGCTTTTTTATATTTTGCAAGAGGTAAGAAGTTATTCCAGAACATTTTCAGCGTCCGAATGTTTGCAAAATCGCAATTTTCCCGAAACCGCTTATCAGTTGTCCTTAAATAACTTTTTCAAATTTCAATTTTTCGCCCAAACACACATCAACTTCTTTTCTCGATACCTGCTACACTTTTTTTATAGTCTGCAGTCGATTTTTGTGTTTTGTTATGTTTAAAGTTTGTGTCGAAGGTAGGGCAATTTTTCAAAAGTGCAAAAACCGCCTCAAATCACGTCGTAGACTTGTGTTGATAAATCTTGCGAAGCGCTATCACCTGAGTCGGTGTTCATCACCAGTTGTTGAATATTCACCAAAACATTGGTTTATTTCTCTTTTATTGAAAAGTTCTACGTTACATTTGACTTGTGAAGTCTAGGAGAATGAGATACTTTCGCTGTCTCCTTGATTCCAGAAGAAATACACGTGCTTTACAATGGGAATCGATTTGGCAAGTTACAAGGCAAGAATAGATTCTTTTCAGGCACGTAAATAATAGGGGGGCGTGGGGGGCGTGACGCCCCCCAAAGTTTGGAAAATCCAGTTACAGTTGGAAAACATAACGGTTGACTTGGAATTTTTTCTTAGGACCAAACTTGTGAATTTTATATTTTAAGAAGTTTTTTATTTTAAATGTAAAAATTCTAAACATTAAAATTCACAGGCTGAAGCTGACCCATCCACTAATCGTTTTCTATTGTGAATCCCGTCTCCACTGGATCCAAATTGCACACTTGCCCCGTTTGCTTTCTTTCTGACGGGAGTTGAATCAAATTACGAACAGGCAAGGTGAATTTCCGGATAAGAAACTTGAAACTTTACAGTTTGGAATAATAATTCCCGTATTGATCAGAAAGCATTAGAGTGGGAGTTTTTTAAGAAACTACGAGTAGTTAATTCAATAAAAGATTAATAATCTTTCAGTACTAAAAATTCTCAACGCTTCTTATAAAAACGAGTTTATGCTAAACTCCCCCTGTTATTTGTTAACGCCCTTGGCTCCTTATCATAAATTCCTATGACAAAACTGCTGTAAAGCAAGAACACATTGCAAAAACTGCAGTAGAAGTATTTGATCAAAGAAGAGTGTTTCATCTTTCGGATCAGGCATATGCACAAGTTTGTTCTCAAATCGTCATTTCAATTGTAAAGAATGAAAAGGCATTTGGCCCTCTGAAAATTGTTAGTAGTTTTCTTCGATCAAGAACAAAAATTAAAGGCTCAAGTTTATGGTGCTTCTATATCGTGAAAAAATGTATTTTAGATAAGATTGATCTGCGCCAATTGATTAATTGATCAATTTAGATAAAATTGATTAATTGATCTGAAAGAATACTACTAATCATTAAGTATATCTAATACTGGTTTTGCTTAAATGTTGCTTTACTTCTTACTGTAAGTTAAAATGTCTCTTTCATGTTGATGAAAATTTAGAGATTTAGGCTTTTATGCTTTAGGCTAATTATTGAGTAAAGTTTTGGTAATTATAAAGAAAATAGAACTATGGTGTTCGGGCTATTTACAAATATCAATTTAGTAGGTACAGTAGATTTACTGGTCAAATGAAAAATTTCTTACTTAGATTGGAATTTTCATCCTTCCACGCCCCCCCAAAATTAGCAACTTGTTTTCGTCCCTGATTCTTTTGCATCTTGATGGGAAGGTAACATATTCTCTGTCAGCCTGAGTAGCCTTGTCATATCTTTTG